TATTAAGGACGGCTGGCCTCCGGACTGTGTGATTGCTCTTAGTTGTTCTCCATTTCCGGGGTTTTTGCAGTCCACCGGAACTCTCGGCCAATCTTTAGGCTATTTGATATCCAGGGGTTTGGAGGTCTGTAGGCCCCATCATATTCGTTTGTTGTAGGTACAGTTTTCCTGTTTTCCACTTAAGCTGCTGTTTATGGCGAAAGCCGGTGTTTATTGGTGTGTGAGAGCGACCTCCGGAAGATGGCTACAAGAGCCGTAACCATGACCTCTTTTACATTTCTATAGTCGTTATCCAGATCATCACTGTTCCCTTCGAGTTCCGAGAGCTTCATAGCCTACTCCAACAGATATTGAGGGACTACAGAGGCGCCTTGTGGGCGAAACGAATGCCTCTACATTAACCATGTTTTAGAGGGAAAGTAGATAGGTGCGCGTGGCCGCACGATGTCACTATCAGAGTCAAGTGGCGCAATCCAAACTGAACTCAAAGCTTGTTTCGAAACTCTCCACCGGTAGCTGATNGTAAGATCAGTTGTATTGAAACAAAGTGTAACGCAAAGCAACTGAATGGAACGGTAAAATGGTTCAGAGGAAATCACAAGGCTAAAATTAGCATAGGATGGATAGTATTTCCACAAAGACCAGCTGATTGTCTGAGCAGAAGACACGCCGCGCAATGGTCACACAATCCCAGGCACAGTGTTCCACAAATACATCGCGAAAGAGAACTATCCAATGAGGCTTTGGGGACCGAGTGTCTAAAGAAATGCTGCTTAACTATCACATAACTGTACCAGAAACTCGGGTACTAGGAAATTGCAGTTGGGACAATTGTTGGAACGCCGCACAAATCTAATGAATATGGAAGGGATTAGGAGCAAATTAGACAGCCATGGTTTAGGAAAACAAATATGTTTAAGAAACTGTCTTCGTCCAGCTCACAAGACTGAAAGTGTCAAAACGACAAGGATGACTTACAGGTACAAAAAACACATTGGATTTAGATTGCGTCAAACGAACTAGCGAAGTACACAGGTGTGTAGATGGGAAAAATGGACATCAAATACAAACACTAACCAACATTAGACAACGCCCAAAACACCACCGAGGGTGAGGAAATATGTTTACCTGTGGACAGGATAGAAGTTTTCGTTGAAAACTATGTCCGTCCGCCGCAGCGCCTCGTAATTTGTGCCACACATCAGGCCAGAACCAGTAAAGGTCAACACGAAAGCGATGAGGGAAACGTACGGTGTGCGTTCAACGCAGCCTTCTAATACGGTATGATGATAAATTGAAATATATTCACTAACCCATTTGTGAGCGTGCTTGGGCAAACCTGGAGCATAAAACCCACTGTTCGGACGGCGGAGTTTGTATACGGGTAAGTTAAAATCTGGAAAGTACTATAAATTGAAACGAGTCATTACGGCCAACAAAATTGCCAACAAAATCATACAGTATATCATACCATGGATAACCAGTTCTCTTAGAGTCTCAGAATCTCTTCAGAGGGCTATGGATGTTTATTTGTAATGTACTACTCATAAGGTTGCTGAAAATCCATCGACAGCCCACGACCGGTTTCGCCCTTCTTGGGGCTCACCAGGTAGGCGCAGTTTCAAGTAGAACATAAGGTTGACATGACATTTCAATTTGAAGTTGCAACGTGCATGCCAAAAGATGGTATAACAGTGGTCAGTTTTGTGCTTCGATTTGGTACTCAAAGATGAGAGCGATGTCGTCCGCATACGACAGATCCACAAGGCCCTCACCAGCAATTTGAATACCAGGGTTTTGAAGACCTTCCAGCGTTCGCCTCATTATTTCAACAATGAAGTTGAACAAGAGTAAAGAAAGCGGGTATCCGTGTCTAACACGACTTTTCGTAGGGAAGATTTTGGAGAGCTCACCATACACCCTCACCCGCCAGGAGGTATGTGAATAT